TGACACAGAACAAATGACACCCCCAGTAAGCCAAGACACAACCRTTGCACCACCCTGGATACCACCAAACATCCGTGAAGCTTTAGTCACCTGAGAAACACCATGCATGTTCCAAACCCTTGTAAGAAGATCCATCTCTTCAATGCATTTTTAGACCCTAATACAAGAATTGACAAAATTACCATTCCACTTGGGAAGATATAAACCAGTGTTTATATTAATGATAAAGGTTTGATTGCTTTTGATTAATTTAGCCTTTTTTTGCTGCATGACTGGTTTCCATGGAAATGCAAGCAGACTAAAAACCTGCAACCAGAAGTGAGTCAGTTTTGCCTGTTTATGTCTCCTCAGTTCCCTTGGAAACAGACATTAAAAAAAAAAAAAAAGTAAAAAGCATAAGGGTCCTGAAATACCTTCAGAAAATCTCTTCCCAAAGCTTTATCTCTTTGGCTGCCTTTCCAGAATTAGAGTTGAAAATAACACAGAGCAACAGATGACAGAATAGTGACTTGATTTTTTTGTTAAGGAGACATCAACAGAACATACCTGGAGATGTTTTCAAAAACCACATTCAAATTGACAAGCTCAAATTGTATTAACATGGGTTTTGGCAAAAGTATCTCAAGCAGAGTATATACTTCTTTAAATTAGTTCAGTGCTAATGTAGAGAGAAATACAATAGAGAACAGGAAAATAGCATCATACTGTCCTTGTCCCAAGTACATTTCAATACTTCAAGAGWGAGGGAAAAAGAAAAATCTGCCCTGGGGGAATGAGTCCAATATTTCCATAGCCAGGATGCTTTTTAATGGAATCATTCCTTCCTTGCAACACATTCACTTTCAAGTTGCAAAATCAGCTATACACATACCAGGTTAAGTAACAAACATCAGTATTAAATTTGTTATGTGTAAAAATGCATTCCTCCAAGGCTGATAAAGCAAACCTAGGAGGGCCTGTCAGCAAGACTYCATCTCCCACTGTCCTGTTCAAAGACAACAGCGCATTCTCCCCCGAGCTGGATCTTCACACTGGTACAGATAACATCTTCCTTCCTCCTCAGAGCCAAATGCATCAGAGAAGGGGAAGGAATAGGATGGGAAGTTATGAGGGAAGAGGCTGCAATGCATGTMTCAGACCTTCAAAGCCTGCTATTATCACTACCATTACTATGCAAGAATTCCCTGACAACCAAGTGTCCAGAAACACAAAGAACAGTGGTACAATTATTCACTCCTCTAAGTTCCCTCTAGAATGTTCAGGACAGCTCAAGGGATTACAAACTATTTATTTCCTTGTTTGTCTCTCACACCACATTATCAGTTCTCAGCATACCTCTATGCAAACCAACACTTCACCAGAGGGCTTTGGAATCCATCCTTACTGCCTGGCTGGGAGGAACATGCAGGGACAGTGCACTGGTCTCACCACTACTGTCAGAGTCTGAAGCTGCATTACAAACATCAGGAAAGAGAAAAAAAAGGAAATCCTAAACCCTGCTCACATACTCCTAACAATCAACAGAACTCAAGGGCCCTCCTACATTCAGTGTTACATCCCTCCTTTTTGTACTTCGCTGCTACTCTGAGAACTAAAAATATACTGCCACCAGCATGAAACAAGGCTTGGGGAGGAGTAGCCACTCATGATACTCACTGAAAGGATGAGAGAGGRGTAGCAATCATTGGAGGTGTCTTGAATGGAAGAAGTTGAACTTAATTCAATGTTAATTAGTTCACATTAGCCGAACTCAATCTATTCTTGTCACAGGAAAGATAAGCATCAGAAAATTATTTCCCATTCTCCTTTGTATTTTGGCAAGGTGTAGAGTCACACAGTAAGGAGAATAATCTCGCAGTACTCACTAAGGCGTCACTCAAGGAGGGCAGATTTAACATTGAGTGGAGAACATTTACTGTTAGGGGAACATTAAGAGAAACATTGATGTGTATCTTTCAGTCTATTTCAAAGTTTAGCCTCCTTTCTGGTACAGGTCAGAYGCACTTTTAAACAAATTACTTTAGCTATTCATTTACTTTAGCGGCTAGACACACAAACATCYAAGTGTCGGGGAGGCTACATTCTTTACAGTTACCATCCAAATTCATCCATGCAATGATATGCACAGACATCTTCTAAAACATTCAGCGAACAAAACACACACGCAGCAAGTAAGCAGAGCAAGTGTTTACCACCACACTCTACAACAAATYTGTTTGTTTCCATGATTAAACGCAGGTGTCAAGTTTACTGAAASCAGGCTCTGAAGAGATTGCAAGGGTGTCAGGTGTCAGGATCAGCTTAGTTTCATGCCTCCTCTAGCACAAAGAACAGAACAAAGACGAATGTCACGGCTGAAGCTAGGGAGTCACTAYGAAACAGATGAAAGACACCGCTCACAAGAAAAGAGAAAATAATTTAATATGAAGATTACCGACAGAGAATCAATAATTTTTGATTATTAATTAAAAATTAACGCATCTGACTTGGTTTTGCCTTTGGGAAGAACACCAGCATTATCATAKCAATCTTACGGAAATTTACAAGGTCACACACTGCATTGCAATTCAGGAAATAAAACCACAACCGTTATCATCCACCACCTGTCTCACGCACTGAACTAGGCAAGGCTCCCCTTCAGCAAATACAAAGTATAATTGCCCCATTATACAATGTATCATGTTACACATTCTTACGAAAGCCTAATCATAGTTAAATAAGTCAATTCAAATCTGTCATTTGTTAACTTCCAAATACTGATTTATTGAAGATTAACACTAACTCTTCATATCAAATTTCCCAATRCAGACTTTTAAATCTGTACTTTAAATTTGCATAAGTTTCTCCTGTGTTAAGTTATGTGGTAAATAAAATGGGTTTTGATATATACAAAACTCTGAAGATCGACTGAAAACAGATACCATCGTTACTGTTTCAAAATCAACACCTGCCCCTTTACACTAGACTGCCACTTACACTAATATTTCAAGGAGTTTCCTTGATATTTAAGACAAATATTTAAAACAAAATCCACAAGTGTCTAGAAGGAACAGYATAGCCTAAATCAATTGTAACAACTGATAAAGATCAGTAAGTTAAATCTTCAAGCAAGCATCATTGTTTTGTACATGCTGAAGAAGCTTTATGCAAGCACTGCAACTTCCCAGAATAAATGAACACATTTCATATAAAATATTAGAAAAAGGGAGACACACACCAAACCTAAGGTCTGCTCTGTTACCTCACGGTTCTCCTGTTAGAACATCCTGGGYACCCAAAAGCAGCCAATGCACTCATCAGAAATCACTCTAACTGGGCTTCAACTTAGAGTCATCTTTCCAGCTAAAAGTGTCCCATTTATGGAAACCCGCGGTATTTGCACTCAGATTTTCAACACTGAATTGTAACCCCAAGTTACTACAAAACTCCCCAGGGATTGACATGGTGTAAAATAACAAATAGCTCACAAAGCTGAAGGCTTTGAAGACAAAATCCGAAGAGGACTGGAGACAGCTAAAACCTCCCCAGCACCACGATGTATGACACATAAACACACAGCTGTTCCTTCACATGTAACAAAGATCACACACAAGTTGTGGCATGAAGGGTTTTTTTGCTGGCCTTTGGAAGTCCAACGTGATTTCCTGGTGGCAGGAAGGAAGTAAAGGGGGTCAGGTGGTATCATTTCATAACAGATCATCATGAGGTAGCAGATATGGAAAACTGTTMTTTTAACTACAACTGTACTTATTTCTTGCAGGAAGGATTTTCTACACCTTGTCAACAAAAGTGCTACTTTTCAGAAAGTCATAATCATGACTTTTAACTCTCTCTCCAAAGCACAAACCCGAAGAAAAAGATCCCTGCTCAGAAAGACACTACGAATATTCTTTTACAARTTTAGTTTTACAATACCTTTTCTAGTCCAAGGCACCTTAGCAGTTCTCCTGTCAAAATTAGTGCATCAGCTCAAGTGTCACATCCAAGCCATCATCTGTCATCATGCAAAACTTCTTAAGAGCACATACAGATTTGGAGCATGTAGAGGTAGAAAAATGAAAAGTTTAAGAAGCATTGCAGCAGAAACCTCTATCAGCATGCACAGAAACGCAATAGGTGCAGAAGGAATTTGACCAGTGGCTTCTTGTCAGTTTTGGATCAGTGTTTCTCAGCTGCTGATCCWGGGAGCAACCAGTCAGCTCCAAGACATCTGAAACAGCCTGTGGAACAGCTGCAAGGAAGGCTGACTTGTGTTTTGGGCAGGAGGGGAGAGGAGGGAATTATTTTCTTGTTTTTATATTTTCAACAAATAGTTCTTGCATGCAAGCAAAAAAGCAATCAACACAAACAAAAAGCAGCAACTGAGCAATCAAACCTCAGCCTAATTTCTGTCTCATTGCAGCTGTAACCTCCTATGGCCTTACTGCACAGTACAATCCTCAGATTGTATTCAATGAGGTCAGATGTCTTTTGGACTTAAAAAGGTTGAGAGACATCCTTTAGATGACAGATAGTTGGCAGATAAAAACATGGAAGATAAATGGAAGATGAGGATTTCTGAAGGACAAAGTAAGATGATGAGATAACCAGCATATACGATTATAAAAAGAAATCAAAATTCACCAGAAGAAAAACCCAAACCTGTCTCAGATGTTTTTAAATGTACAAAAGATTTAAGGAATAAAAGCCTCAACATACAAACTCTTTATTTTGGCAATTAGAAATCATAAACTAATACAACATATTCCAAGAACTGAGATCTCTAATACTAGATTTATAAAGCATGAACCTGCTCTTGTACCCAGTAATAAAAGYAAAGCCATAAAGAGCATTAGGCAGTCACAAATTCGACCCCTTAAGCATACTAAAAGCTCCAGCATTTGAGTGGRCTTAATGACATCCCTTTAATGCTACTAAATCAGAACCACCTCACCACTATTGCAACTATGTAACAGACRTTTTAGGGAGACCAGAAACAGTTGCACCATGCTCCTACTTACTTGAATCCTCCCATCTGAGAAGGTGCAACTTCCAAGCGGAATAGTACAGAAATCCCAGTACCAGAAAGAGGCAGAGGGCTAGTAGCAGGTTACGCATAAACACCAAGAGTCCCATCTTCACATTAAATCTGCTCTTCTACATGACCTGAGAAAGCAAAACAGGTTGAGGTTAAGGTTGGAGCCACCTTCTCCAAYGGGCATCCTCTCCAAAACATGCAATCCCACACCCATCAAAACGCACAGATCCCAAACCGTTCTCCCGACAAGGTAAAACACACGCGTTACCCCAAAGCACACCAGTGAAACAAGAACTTCCCCCCCAGACAGCTGCCTGCTCGGCCGTCACAAGAATCAGTGCCGCTCCGGAGAGGCGGGGAATCACCGCCACGCTCTGACAGGGCATCAGCCCCGCTCCTGCCCACTTGACAGAACCGAGTCCAGCACGGCCCTGGCCGCCGAGGCCTGGCGAGCACCGCGTCCTCCCGCCACGCCACGGAGCAAACCCACAGCGCCGGGTGCGCCGCGGACAGCGCTGGTCCCGGCTGGAGCCCCGCGGAGTCCCGGGCACTCCGCGCTGCGAGGACGCTCTGTCCTAGAGGCGGTACCAGCGCCCGGAGAGAGGGGCTCGCCGGGCCCGGGCAGGACGGCAGCTCTCCGCCCGCTGACAGCTGCCAGAGGCCGGCTGGAGCCTGGGTTTGAACGGGCAGCGACGTCGCCACCGCCGGGCTGCCCCCGCCTCGCCGTGCTCCGCTACCGGCTACGCCGCGCCCCGCCGGGCCCCCCTCACCGCGCTGGCCGCCGCGATCGGCCCTGCCCG